AGTAGTATTCATATATTGAGAACATGGCGTAATTTTTGCCGTTCTGTATATTGAAAGAATCACATAATATGTGTTTGTCTGAACGCCGGAACAAAAATTGCTACAGTCAAACCTGTATATAACGGCCCTGTATATAGCGGTCACCCTGTGTATAACTGTCACTGAACAACTTCCCAAAAATCGTCCTTTATATTTACTGTTAAGTTGACCTGCATGTAGCGGTCACCTGTATACAACGGACGCGGTCACCCTTTAGACTTCCAGAATCCGCAATTTCATTATCTTTTACCTGTATGTAACGGTCACGAAATTGGGTTACAATTAGCGAATAATGACAAGCTTCATTCATCAGCTCGTTAAATAGCAGCCACTAAGGCAGGGGTCTCACAAAAATACAAATATTAGTACTAAACACAACTACTAATACATGTCATCGCCGACGTCCGACACATGCTTGGGGTAGATAACATTTAAGTGTCGTCGCTTTCAAACAATAGTTACTGTAACTGTAACAACACAACCGTACCACACTGGCTTTCGTCATAATTCCCTGACTTTAACACTGTTCTGTACTTATCATGTTGACCGCCGCGGTTTTACACTGCATTGGACCAAGACAGCGCTCGGCATCAAATTTCTCTTCTATCAGCTTCCGATGCAGCCACTCACAGGAGACTTAGATCAAAGTATACTACACCTCCCTTAAAGCACACCACGGACATTTTATGGGCATTTTCTTATCGTGTTTGTTGCGTTGCTGTTACTCGTTATTGTAAATAAAACGTAAATTGAGTGATTATTTGCACATAAAAATGCTATTTGTTGACTTCCAGGGGAGTTTAAAGGAAACCTGTGTACAGCGGTCACCCTGTATATAACGGTCACCCGGCCATTTCCCAAGGGTGACCGTTATGTACAGGTTTGACTGTATTTACTAAGACCCCATCTTAGTTTCCCTAAGACAAAAACTAAGACCCTGGGCGTAAACCGTTGAATTATGGGTTCGCAACGTTTAAGTGCTTGCGTGAGGACTAGGGTTGTGTGATGGAACTCGTAAAACTTGAAAAACTTGAAGTGCTTTCCAGCTGCTTCAAATAATGCTCGAGTCAGGTGGCATTCGGCAAAGTATTTTTTGCCGAGAAATTTGCTGTGAATAGACATTTATTTATTTATTTATTTATTTATTATTATTATTATTATTATTATTATTATGACTCGCGTATTTACGAATGGCGAATGGCTCTTGATCTTCATGCATCAACGAAAAATATAAGACTCCTCGATTATTCTTACTGAAACTGTTTCTCTACCCCTGGCATTTGTGTCTTACAGCTCCATATGTAAAGCTCTCTTAAATTAGAATGTACAATTTAGCGCTCCAAGCTGATTGAAATTTACACTGAAATAACTCGTTTATGTGTTAAATTACCTCACTAGAACCCTGTTATTTCACCAGCTAGTAGAATTTCAGGAAACTGTTTGTTCGACTGGCAGGAAGTCACGCCAACATTGCAGTTTCGTGTATGATGCCATGGTCGCGTGATGCTATGATAGAGCAAATACAAGGTCGGAAGGCCAGAGGGGTGCTTTGGAGGGAAAAGTGATCACATGACATCTTGCTCATTAGACCGGACCGCGATCTTTGATATGTCTTTTTTTTCCCACGTTGAATTTTATTTAAATGCAAATGAAAGAGTCAACCGAGAAAAGGGCTAGTTTCATGCGATGTTATAAACTATATATACATAATAGTTGGACGTGGTATTTGATTGCTGGCGAGTTGAACCCCGCTATTTCGAACTACAGTCGAACCCCTACTAAGCGGCCACCCCCGGGGAAATGGGAGGTGGGCCCTTAATAAGGGTTTGCCGCTTCATAGGGGTTGGTGTACCTTGAATATTGTTTACCATCTTTAGTTCATGGAATCATGTCAAGACAACCATGATAAATGTATGTTTGAATGTTTTTATCAGTTACGTTGTCACCTTCTATTTTGGATTTTTATCGGCCATCGTCTTTTCCAAAACAAAGCTAAATAACATGTATTAAACTTTGGGTTGCTGTCTAATAGGGGTAAAAAGATTAGAAAAACCTAGCTTCACCGGGACGACCAAAAAGTGACCCGGCCGCTTATAGAGGTGGTCGGTTAATAAGGGTTTTATTTACAGTGTTTTACTGAAAATAATTTCGGGACTTCGATATCTGGCCGCTGAATAGGGGTTGGCCGATTAATAGGTGGCTGCTTAATAGAGGTTCGACTGTATTTTTCGTTTCCCCTGAGAGATCGGTAGAAAATGACTAAAGGGCGAATCCCAGGGAAATGGTTTTGAGTTCGAAATAACGGGGAATTCGAAATAACCGAGTTCGAATTAGCGGGGTCCGACTGTAATAACCTCCCTCTTTTTTATAAGAAATTTTTACCTTGCTGGCCCGTCGAAATCCTAAATTTCTTAGATGATCCCCCCCCC